GGGTGACTCTAAACACCTGGTCGTGGCGTGTTGGGGTGACTCTAAACACCTGGTCGTGGCGTGTTGGGTGACTCTAAACACCTGGTCGTGACGTGTTGGGTGACTCTAAATACCTGGTCGTGGCGTGTTGGGTGACTCTAAACACCTGGTCGTGGCGTGTTGGGTGACTCTAAACACCTGGTCGTGACGTGTTGGGTGACTCTAAACACCTGGTCGTGGCGTGTTGGGTGACTCTAAACACCTGGTCGTGACGTGTTGGGTGACTCTAAAACACCTGGTCGACGTGTTGGGTGACTCTAAACACCTGGTCGTGACGTGTTGGGTGACTCTAAACACCTGGTCGTGACGTGTTGGGTGACTCTAAACACCTGGTCGTGGCGTGTTGGGTGACTCTAAACACACCTGGTCGCACGTGTTGGGTGACTCTAAACACCGGGTCGTGACGTGTTGGGTGACTAAACACCTGGTCGAGGCGTGTTGGGTGACTCTAAACACCTGGTCGTGACGTGTTGGGTGACTCTAAACACCTGGTCGTGGCGTGTTGGGTGACTCTAAACACCTGGTCGTGGCGTGTTGGGTGACTCTAAACCTGGTCGTGGCGTGTTAGGTGACTCTAAACACCTGGTCGGCGTGTTGGGTGACTCTAAACACCTGGTCGTGACGTGTTGGGTGACTCTAAACACCTGGTCGTGGCGTGTTGGGTGACTCTAAACACCTGGTCGTGGCGTGTTAGGTGACTCTAAACACCTGGTCGTGGCGTGTTGGGTGACTCTAAACACCTGGTCGAGGCGTGTTGGGTGACTCTAAACACCTGGTCGCGTGTTGGGTGACTCTAAACACCTGGTCGTGACGTGTTGGGTGACTCTAAACACCTGGTCGTGGCGTGTTAGGTGACTCTAAACACCTGGTCGTGGCGTGTTGGGTGACTCTGGTCGACCTGGTCGAGGCGTGTTGGGTGACTCTAAACACCTGGTCGTGGCGTGTTGGGTGACTCTAAACACCTGGTCGTTGTTGGGTGACTCTAAACACCTGGTCGTGGCGTGTTAGGTGACTCTAAACACCTGGTCGTGGCGTGTTGGGTGACTCCACCTGGTCGAACTCCTTAAACACCTGGTCGTGACGTGTTGGGTGACTCTAAACACCTGGTCGTGGCGTGTGTTGGGTGACTCTAAACACCTGGTCGACGTTGGTGACTGCGTGTTAGGTGACTCTAAACACCTGGTCGGGCGTGTTGGGTGACTCTAAACACCTGGTCGAGGCGTGTTGGGTGACTCTAAACACCTGGTCGTGGCGTGTTGGGGTGACTCTAAACACCTGGTCGCGGCGTAAGTGACTCAAACACCTGGTCGTGGCGTGTTGGGTGACTCTAAACACCTGGTCGTGACGTGTTGGGTGACTCTAAACACCTGGTCGTGGCGTGTTAAGCGACTCTAAACACCTGGCTCCAGTGTGTTGTGTTGGATGGCCTCCGGAGCACCTGGTGTGGGCGTGCCTGGACCAGCTGGGGACCTTGGGACACATGGGGCTCACCCGACACATGTGTTACCCCTGAGGAGTCTATAAAGCTCATATTTCTCCTACAGAGTAAACATTACACTATGTCCCCCATGTGTTATGTTTCTTCTATAACGGAACATTACACTATGCCCCCCATGTGTTACGTTTCTCCTATAACGGAACATTACACTATGTCCCCCATGTGTTATGTTTCTCCTATAACGTAACATTACACTATGCCCCCCATGTGTTATGTTTCTCCTATAACGTAACATTACACTATGTCCCCCATGTGTTACGTTTCTCCTATAACGGAACATTACACTATGTCCCCCATGTGTTACGTTTCTCCTATAACGGAACATTACACTATGCCCCCATGTGTTATGTTTCTCCTATAACGTAACATTACACTATGTTCCCCATGTGTTACTGAGGCTGACGAGGTAAACAAGAACCTCAGGTGTAGAGGTGAACAAACACACTAACCACAGGAAATAGTGTACCACCACACCCAGGTGAGCCAGGTGTGACCCTCAGGTGACCCCCGAAGTCAATCACCCTGGTGTAGTGTGACCTGGATGGGAGTGTGTGTGTTGAACTTAACCTAACCAACATTAGTAGTTTAGTGAATCATATAACATCAAGAAAACTAAAAATCAACTTAAACTGCAGGAGAAATCTAAAATTATAATCTTGAGGTACCGTTTATTCTTAGTAAGATGGCCAGAGTAAAGGCATTTTGTCACGCTCAGGTCAAACACATAAAACGTAGAAGCATCCTGTAGGTGGGGTGAAGGAGGAGCAGTCAGTGGGTGTTAGACACAGAATGGGCGGGTGGTAAGGTGGGTGTTGTCAGGGAATGGGCGGATGGGCGGGTGGAATGAGAGTTAGCTTAATCTAATAAATAATAACTCAACTTAACATTACAGAGCCATATTATATTTTTTTAACGAGGAAAATATTTTGTAAATACATAACAATAAAGGTACACACGGTGACACTACCCAGGCCGGCACGTATGTTTACACTGTACCGTCGAGGTGTATGAAGCCAGGTGTGTACTTCATAAAGCCAACACACCTGGTACAAACACATGGACACACACAGAGGGACGGAGAGCCATTGACGTGGTGTGTGGAGCATAAAAGATAAGATGGGATATTGGTAGCGACGTGAGAAGTGTTTGAAAAAATGGTGATGACAAACAGTAGAATATCGATTAAGTTTGACTGTCCGGGTTGATACCAGAGAGACGGTGGTTGGAATTTCATCAGAATATTGATCATTGAAGAGAGGGACGGACGGACAGACAGACAGGAAAGATTGTCTGGGAATTAGAGACAGAATCATGATAAGGCGAGGAGATGTTGACTAAGGTCTGGGATGAGCTCTACTTAGTCAATAGTTAAGAGAGATAAATAATATTATAAACATTTCTAAGAAATTTGAGAAAAAATATGGAACTATTGACCTGATAAATATATACATCGTTAGTATGACTATAGTGTGTATAGAATTTGTATAGCAAGTAGAGGATGTGTATAGCGTGTGTCCATCACTTGTGCTTAATGTGTCGGACCCGGTGTGTGTGTGGCGAGCGCTTGGTGTGTCAGGGGGGTGGTGTGGGGGAGCAGGGCAGCATCCGGCCTGGGTCACGCGTCACCGAGCAGTGATTGTGACGAGACACTCACCTCCAACCACACACACACACACACACACACACACACACACACACACACACACACACACACACACACAGTTAGTCACGGTCTTGACGTAACTATTTGTATTCGCGTAACCAAACACGGCGAACACAAGCCACACCCACCAGCTGCCCCTACACACACACTCTTACACAAAAGGACCAACACACGACAGGGGGAACTGTCAGCTGACACCAAGAGGCCAAGAGGAACGACCGGCTGACATCTGGATAAGACAAACTGTCAGCTGACACCAGGAGGACCAGTCGGGCTGAGCTGACACCAGGGTGACACGACACAAAGGACGCGTCAGGGCAGCTCCACATAATCACATTCCTCCACCATGACAAGGCCTCTTGCTCAACGCTGCTCCACCAAGGACAACACCCACGACCTGACCTGTGCCACACCTGGCCCAACACTCACTCACCAAAAAGGTTCTGTAAACAAACAACCACGTGGACTGTACCTCTCTCAACTATTAACACCCAACTGCCTCCCACGGTACATCTGTGAAACTTCACCCTCACACCGGCGACAGCTGTACAACCACATCAGTCTATCACCTCACAACCACACCTATAACGCAAAAGCACACCTGCCCCACCCCACTACCACACCTCACAAACACTCTACCGCAAAATATTAACATCACACGTGTGCCATTATCAACTCCTTACCTGATAATCACACTACCACACAGGTCCACCACATGTGCTACACCCGAGACCCACACCAGCACACACCAGTAGTATCAGTGTTTGTCCTGACCATTGAAAGTAAGACTAAGTATATCACTGCTGACGATGACAACGACCTACTGAACTGGCGGTAGCTCCCCTAGATGGATCCTCATCTCCCTCCAGGTGTTCTGTAACCTGACCGTAGGGGAACAACTTACCGGGTGAGAGAGAGAGAGAGATGTCAGTTCACTCGTTCACTCAGTAATCCGTGACCTCCTTGTTAGCGGAGATGACGGTCGACCCTTCACCTCAGCCTCGCTATGCATGTCTCTTGCATACTCAGAGTAAATGGCGCCTAAAGTGTGGGGTAGTGGCAGGTGTGAGGAGGTGACAGGGACCAGGTGTGTGGGCGTAAAGTGGTGACAGGGGCCAGGTGTATGAGCGTTAAATGGTGACAGGGGCCAGGTATGTGGGCGTTAAGTGGTGACAGGGGCCAGGTATATGAGTGTTAAATGGTGACAAGGGCTATATGTGTGGGCGTGGTGGTAGGACTGAGTTATGTGGGTGTTAGGTGATGGCAAAGGCGAAATGTACGGGCGTGAGGTGTTGACAGAGCGAGGCGTGTGGGCCGGTATCTTGTTAGATCTGGTGGGACGCGTTGGATGGTGGCGTGCGTAGCAATGGTGAGGCGTGTAGGATGGCGTTGTGTCATGTAGGATGTTTGTATATATGACAGCGGTGAGCAGGGATGATGGCAAGTGTAGCAGGGATGATGGCGTGTGGGGGTGCAGGATGCTGGCGTGTGGGCGCGGGCAGGTGAGAGACTGCAGCAGCAACACCAACTACTCACCTGACCGGCTGCCCCACAAGGACGCCCCTCCCCCCACCCTCCTCCACACACACACACAGCCAGCGGCCCCCCCACCACCACCACACCAAACGTTTTTTGTGATAGCGTAATCCAGGAGGTGGCGTGGCGTGGACCTCCTCTACCAAGACTTTAACACAGCAGTAGATAACAAGCGACAAACACCTGGCCTCACCTGCATCAGTATAAACTATCATCTACCTTCACCAAGACACCTGTAAAAATAGGTTAATTACGGGTAGTTACCTGAGCGTCAGCCCCAGCATCTCCATTTTCCATCTTCATGTTGGAGGATGATGGGAGCCGAGGGATCGTCTGCTGACAGGAGATCGCTGATACTGACTGGGCCCGGGGCTAACCCATCCTAAGCCTCGGGTAGCACACAGAACACGGATCTCGCAGACGGGCCGCCATTACTCTGTCACCCTCCTCCAGAACACACTATAACGTCTCCTGCCTCACTACTGATCCCATCACTCCCTTCAACCTTATTCTCACCTCGCGGGGCCACACTACACTCCCGCGCCAACACAGGTTTACACTCTGTACACTCCGGCCACAATCCTCTCTACATTCCTGAAGATACACCGCCAACACTGGACACACTCCAGCAGAAACAGTACAAAATATCCAGGGGTAACACTGAGCAACACTCAAGTTCCTCTCTACACTGTAACACTGACCACTATTGTCATACGCGGCTGAATTGTTGTCATATATTTGTATACAACTGAACAATGGATCAAAACTTTTCTAACACATTTTAGAACCCAAACAATAATCACTTTAAACCATAAACACGCACCACCAACACAAGAGATCAAGTAGTCTGTTCATACACTCCACGACGACTATGGTTTTTCAAAATATCATCTGGGCACACTTGGGTATAACTCCCTTATTGGAAGACTTTGTAGACTCCAGGTACTTGTTGATTACAGGTAGCGACCCGATCACTACACCTAGGGAGGGTGTAGAGGTGTATGGTAGGAGTGTGGAGTGTTAGGACACAGGTGTAGGAGACAGGCGGTCCAGCGTAAGGGCCGGGCCACGTTCAGGCGGGCGTCCGGGCTCACACTAGTCACTAGTGCTGGCCAAGAGTCCTCTGGGAGCGGGGCCAGGGTGAGGGGGGCCAGGGTGAGGAGGAGGCAGGGGGAAGGTGAGGAGGAGAGCGAGGGCTGGAGGGTGAAGGGAGGGGGAGGCGTCTAAGACGGTCTCACTCTCGCTCCCCGCAACACACACACACGCACTCACTCACACGCTCACTCACTCACTAACACAACCCAACTTTTTACACGTACTACGAACCCCAAGAGAACGTGGCCTCCCCTCTCGCCTGAGCGACGCGTCACACACACACACACACACACACACACACACACACACACACACACACACACACACACACACACACACAAAACCTTGAGCAAAATACAATCTTGTCTTCTAAAAAAAAAGTAGAATACGTCATCGCATTCCACAACCCTTCCTGCACCTATTGTGACGTAACGCAGGACCTGGGTGCTGTCCTTCACACAAACAAACAAGAATTATAACAAACTTCGCCATTATCAGTACAGTAACGGTGTTGTATGAGGCGAGGTGGGGTTATGAGGTGGTGTGTGGAGGAGGTGGGGTTATGAGGTGGTGTGTGGAGGAGGTGAGGTTATGAGGTGGTGTGTGGAGGAGGTGGGGTTATGAGGTGGTGTGTGGAGGAGGTGGGGTTATGAGGTGGTGTGTGGAGGAGGTGAGGTTATGGTGGAGGTGGGGTTATGAGGTGGTGTGTGGAGGGGGTGGGGGTTATGAGGTGGTGTGTGAGGAGGTGGGTTATGAGGGGTGGTGTGGAGGAGGTGGAGTTATGAGGTGGTGTGTGGAGGTGAGGTGAGGTGGTGTGTGGAGGTGAGGTGAGGTGGTGTGTGGAGGAGGTGAGGTTATGAGGTGGTGTGGAGGAGGTGGGATTTGAGGGTGGTGTGGAGGAGGTGGAGTTTTGAGGTGGTGTGGAGGAGGTGGGGTTATGAGGTGGTGTGTGGAGGAGGTGGGTTTGGGGTGGTGTGGAGGTGGGGTTATGAGTGGTGTGGAGGGAGGTGGTGTGGAGGAGGTGGGAAGGGGGCGGGAGGGCCGGGAACCCCAAGCTGCCCCGGGTGTACAACAGCCACTAGCGTCTCCCACCTGTGATGCTCCACCTTCCTCCTCGTTGTGATAGACAGGTAGGACAGGTGAGGTAGGTGGTTTAGGGGAAGATAAAGACGACAAACAAGACACAGATGTCTCGGGCGGATCCAAGGGGGGTCCTGGGAGCCCGGACCCCCCTTTTTCATCACAAAATTCCAATAATTTTCTTTAATGCAATATTGTACTTAGGCGGTTTTGTATAGTAAAAGGTAATTATTATTAACCTCAGAATATCTCGTTGTATCAAGCGCACATGGCCCTCAAAATGGCCATGATATTGATCAGATTAAAAAAAATAAAAAATCTGGGGGCTTACAGTCACCCCCCCACACACACAAACACAGCTGGGCGGGCTCGCTGTACTCACCATGTTCCCTCCACCCACTACTTCTTGGGCCCCCCTTTTGATATTCCTGGATCCGCCCCTGGATGTTGAGTAAATATTACACATTTTTTTTTTTACTGATTGGATAATGTATTTCTCTAGTGGTTCATATAATTATACAGTAATCCTAACCTAACCCAACCCACACTTTAACCTAACCCAACCCACACTTTAACCTAACCTAACCCACACTCATACTTACCTAACCTAACCCAACACACAGTAAGACACCCTTATTTGTTTACTGTCTATACCCCCCAGCTATTCATCCTGTCACCTCCTCATCCGTTCAACACACACACACACACACACACACACACACACACACACACATACACACACACACACACACAGACACAGTAAGAACACACAGGACCAACAACAACAACAACAAAAATACACGTACAGAAAATTCAATGTAGCTACAGTTATTAAAATGACTCGGGAACATCATCAGGTGACGTCAGGTTGTGTAGAGGCAAGTGATTATTTCTCGTTAATAAAGACTGAACATGAACGAGTCTTCTCCCTAAGGTGAAGCGGCAACCTCGTACTCTGGGTCAAGTCTCCACATGAGCCCCACTGCCATGGTCAAGGCCGAGGCTCTCAGTTGCCCCCTAACACTAAGCAGTGAAGGTGAAGGCAGCACACTTCTCAATGAGGCAGCGTGGCCATCACTACACTCGACTTCGTTCGCTTTCTAAACTTGTAGAGTATGGTACTAATTTACGGCTAGATGGACTGGCACTGACATGGGATCGAACCAAGGACACTTAGGACAGGATGTGAGGATTGAATTTACTCGGCCGCCGCATCCCAAACCTAACAGAGGGACAGAGGTAAAAGGAAGGTTGATGCCCTCTAAAACATCACCTCTTCCCAGTGACCAGAGCCTGACGCCCACCATCCCTCACACTTGATATTTTCTAGAGTCAGTAAATAAAACCATAATTTAAATGTTAATTTGTGTAGTTCCATAAAAAAAACAATATCAACTACGTCCGCCATAACCGTGTACTCGTAAGATCTTGCCTCGTGCACACAACAGGATCCTCGACCAACGTTCATCATCATCTAGGTGACACACACTACCGCTGCCTGGCGTAAATATTACCTTCACGCCGTCTTACCCAGCCACTAGGCGACGGAAGTGTCTGTCTGTCACCACCAGGTTCCACACGCGCGCACACTGATGGAATTACCCCCAAAAAAGACTCCAATTTCATGTACACAAGGGAGACATGAATACCCTCCCCTCTCTCTCTTGGAAGGAAACCAACTCCGGCCTTCACCCTGCGTGCTAACACCCACCATGAACGAGACAGGGCAGGAGGACCTCTACCCAGCCTCACAAGGTTACTTCACTTCCGCATGAGCTTTATGGCTTTACCCCCACCACCTGTTCTAACCCCCCCCCCCCCAACCAGCAGGCCAACACAACAAACAAAACTATCCCCTCCCTCCCTCCCTCCCTCACCCCCATTATTGTTGGGGGTGGCTGGAGGCAGGACGACCTGTGGCTAGTGGGAGCTTCTGGTCGACTGAGCAGACGGGACAACACACAGGATAATCCCCCCCACACACACCAACTCTACCTTAATGACTCGTATCTAATGGTCATCACTCACTTTACTGTCTAATAACAAATCACCGGTACTTAAAATGAGCCCATCTACCATCAGCATTATAATTAAAACTTTACCTGAGACGATAAATGATAGACATATTTTAAAGGCATTTGTGTGTTTCCCACCCTACCTTACCCTACCCTACCCGATCCTACCCTACCCTACCTTACCTTACCTTACCTTACCTTACCTTACCTTACCTTACCTTACCCTACCCTACCCTACCCTACCTTACCTTACCTTTCCTTACCTTACCCTACCCTACCTTACCTTACCTTACCTTACCTTACCCTACCCTACCCTACCCTACCTTACCCTACCTTATCTTACCCTACTCTCCCCTACCCAATGATATCAGCTGACTCTATTACCAGATAACAAACTAATATACAGTATACAACTACAGTATATACAGTATAATCTTACACACTCAGATCAGTAGAGTTTCCGCCCTTACACACTCAGATCACCAGTGTTTCAGTCTTACACACTCAGATCATCAACGTTCAGACCTACTCAACACTGGTACTTAAGAATAATTAAGAGTTATTTACAAGAGTTGACCATAAGAGCTCTATCTCTCAAGCCTCGAGCCTTCCCAGGTCCTCACAGTCTCACAGTCAGTCTTTTACAGTCTTATACAGTCCTACAGTCAGTCCTTAACAGTCTTATACAGTCCTACAGTCAATCCTTAAAAGTCTTGGACAGTTCTACAGTTGTTCTATCATAGTTCCACTTTAACTACTATTACTACTGGTGGTGGTGGTGGTGGTGGTGGTGGTGGTGATGGTGGTGGGTGGGGGTGCTGGAGCTGTAGTAGTAGGTAGTAGTGGTGGTGATGGTGGTGGGTGAGGTGTGACTGGTAGTAGTAGTAGTAGTAGTAGTGGTGGTGGTGGTGGTGGGTGGTGGAGTGGAGTGGGGGGCGATAGGTATTATTAGTTAACATAACACAGTCTTCTTCCCTCTTATCTGAGTGTCTGCAGATGTGTCTACCTCCTTTACCCCCCCACACACCCTCACTTAACATCCCCCCCGCCACCACCACAAACAAACACACATATAAGACGTACCACACACAGAGAGAGAGAGAGAGAGAGAGAGAGAGAGAGAGAGACCTGGTCACCAGCTGAGAGAGGCACCAGTGGCGCCAGAGTCAGGGTGGCAACATGACACCCTATAAAGTGCCACACTGTACTCAACCATGTTAATACTGCACTTACTTATTGTGGAGCGTGGATAAACACGTCTAACAACAAAGTATAGTGTCTGATGGTGCCTGAAAGTGTCTAATGGTGTCTGAAAGCGCCTAATGGTGCCTGAACTAGTGGCAGCCGTTGAGAGGAGTAAAGGAGGGGGCGGGACAGTGCCCTATAATGTTTGTCATATGAAAAAGACAACTTCTGTTTGCACACACACACACACACACACACAGTTAACAGTTGTTTGTACAGTTTTACAGTCACATCAGTGTACAAATTACACACCGAACTTAACCAAACTTAACCTGACCTGACTTGACCTGACCATCAACAATTATCGATTATTTCTAGAAACACTTCCAATACATTATATTACCTTAATCAGTATTTAATCACTAAAACAACAATAATACAAATTAATAATACTTTTCATCAAATTTAAAACTAAAAAAGAATAACTCTTATTATAAATGTTGACTTGGTATGAGTATTTGTCAAGGTAAATAAACTGTTTTGGTATCAGTTTCAGTATAACAGGTACTAGTGTTAATGGTACCCCCTGAGGCGTCTCGTTATAGTAAAGACTGAAGGTATAATGTATCCCTGATGGTGAATATGACACGGGAAGACACTGCAGGAGGTGAGGTTCATTTAGGGTGAAGTTCAAGAGAAGTTATAGGCTCTATCATAAACACTTTTGAGT